GAGAGCGAGCGAGAGAGAGAGAGAGAGAGAGAGAGAGAGAGAGAGCGCGCAAGAGAGAGTGCAGGCATGCGCAATGACGTGCAGGTAAAACCGGGGGGGTAAATGTTTTACCAAAAAGTCATATATAGAAACTATGCTACGAGTATTAAGCACATTTGATGAAGCTGCAGCTACTTTTCTCTGCTCCTCTCTGCTGTCATGACTGTGAGCATCGCGGGGCACGAGACACACCAACAAACAGCACAAACGCACACACACACACACGCACACACACACGCACACACTTGCACTGGAGCGCCAGCCACCACGCGAACCTTTTTACTTTCAGTGCTACAGCACACAGTTGATCCGTACGGACCGAGGTGTGAACACGTGACCCGGTCAAACGGTCGGTTGGACTTTACTCCGTTCACTCTCACCGTGTCTGCAGCTAATTTAACAAAAGCAGAATCATCTCACAGCAGCCTACTGTAGTCTGTGAACATCTCCACACAGATTAAAGTTGTTTGTTGTAAACTAAATTAAGGGAAAAACATATGTGATATAAATACAAACGTAATATTAAAATGTAGCCTACCCTAAAATAAGAGTTTAAAAAAAGTATGTCGATATTGCATTATGTTTTACAGAACTCTCATTTATTATTTTCTGTTTGTTGTTTGAGTATTAAATGCGTTTGTAGGCTGTTGGTAACGGCTACGGCTCACTATGTGGACTGGTAGATCTCTGCAGACTGGAACTTTAAAAGTAGATCTTGGTTCAAAAAAGGTTGGGCACCCCTGATCTAGTCTCACCTGTGTCTTTAGTCTCACCAGTGTCTTTAGTCTTCCCTGTGTCTTTAGTCTCACCTGTGTCTTTAGTCTCATCTGTGTCTTTAGTCTCACCTGTGTCTTTAGTCTCACCTGTGTCTTTAGTCTCCCCTGTGTCTTTAGTCTCACCTGTGTCTTTAGTCTCACCTGTGTCTTTAGTCTTCCCTGTGTCTTTAGTCTCACCTGTGTCTTTAGTCTCCCCTGTGTCTTTAGTCTCACCTGTGTCTTTAGTCTCACCTGTGTCTTTAGTCTCACCTGTGTCTTTAGTCTCCCCTGTGTCTTTAGTCTCCCTGTGTCTTTAGTCTCACCTGTGTCTTTAGTCTCACTGTGTCTTTAGTCTCCCTGTGTCTTTAGTCTCCCCTGTGTCTTTAGTCTCACCTGTGTCTTTAGTCTCACCTGTGTCTTTAGTCTCCCCTGTGTCTTTAGTCTCCCCTGTGTCTTTAGTCTCCCCTGTGTCTTTAGTCTCCCCTGTGTCTTTAGTCTCACCTGTGTCTTTAGTCTCACCTGTGTCTTTAGTCTCACCTGTGTCTTTAGTCTCCCCTGTGTCTTTAGTCTCCCCTGTGTCTTTAGTCTCACCTGTGTCTTTAGTCTCACCTGTGTCTTTAGTCTCCCCTGTGTCTTTAGTCTCCCCTGTGTCTTTAGTCTCACCTGTGTCTTTAGTCTCACCTGTGTCTTTAGTCTCCCCTGTGTCTTTAGTCTCACCTGTGTCTTTAGTCTCCCCTGTGTCTTTAGTCTCACCTGTGTCTTTAGTTTTGCCTTTTTGTTTGAATAAATCTTTTGTGTTATTCAGAAATGGCGTCCAGTTTCCTGTTTTTCAAAGCGTTAGCCGTCACTTCTTAAAGGAGACACCTGAAGCGGTCGAGAGGTCACATCATTTATTTTGACTTTAAAGTGTTTACACTCAACATGTGTCAGGAGGTTTTTTTTTATTTACAGCTTCATTTAATATTCACGAGGAAATGACCAATCACAGAGATTTATAAATACTCATCAACGTTCACAGAGAGTCGAACATTAAACAGGATTCAAAAGAGAGACATTCATACACAGGAGGTGGAAACATGTCGGCTTAATGTTAAAAAACAACATTATATAAGAAGAGAGGGAAGAGTTTGTCCTCGACCCCCCCCCCCCCACCGCATCAAACCTTCATCTTTAAAGTGTCACATTATTTAAATCACATCTGACTTCTGATTTCTTTTTTCACATTATGTAAAATATTTGTATAAAAGACGCCCGACAGAAAGAGTTTGGGAACCTTTGTTCTAAAGCATTGTGTCCACCTGCACGTCCGTCCTGTCTCCATGACAACAGTCTGTTGACAACAGCCGCTGTATGAGCGACTCTGCTCCGTTACTTTTTACTGCATGTTTTGTATTAGAGGTCGTTTAGTTAAAAAAGTAAAAAAGCCGCTGCTCTGTAACTCTGCCGCTTTCTGCTGCGTGCGCTGGCGCTCAGACAGAAACGGCAGGTGGACACGGGGGGCGTGGTCCTGAAGTGGACTGAAGGAGGTCACATGATCGATGTTCAATACTCATTTGTTTCAAAGTGCTAGAAGAGGTTTCTGTTGTTGTTTACTTCGGGGTCACACCAGAGTCCCGCCGTTGTCTCTCCTGTTGAACAGACTCGGATAAATGATGCTGTCGCCATCGTCGTCATAATCATCATCGTCTTCATCGCCATCGTCTTCATCATCATCATTACCATCGTCATCATCGACCATCCCTTTGTCATCAACGACCTGCAGAGGATTCACATCATTAGTACATCAGAACTGAACGGGCACACCCAGAAGTATTCTGGCCCGCGGCGTCGCTCTCTGAAGCGTGTTTCTGTAGCTGACATGTTAACAATTAAAGCTTCATCTTAACAACCAGAGCCCGACTTCAAAGACTTCTCTGACAAAGAGTCTGAACATTGATTCAGAATGCTGCCAATATTCATCGTCTGATTGGTTTAAATTGATAATAAATGATAAAGGTATCTTACTCTCTGATCATTAAAGGTCCAATCAGTGAGCTGTGTAGAGAGTGAGATGATAAAGGTATCTTACTATCTGATCATTAAGGAAACATGCTATGTTGAAGTGCTGGCTTCTCTGACAACAATGCAGCAGCCAGTATGTCCTCCTTCTAACTTTAGATTCTGCTCCTGAATGTTCTGGATTTGTTTGGACCAGAGAAGGTAGGTGCTTTTAAGACACCCCCACACGACCGTTTTGGACGCCCCTCGGTTTGTCAGATATGAGAGCAGTTATCAGGTCAACAGGTGTTACAGCGATGGAAGCGGGCAAGAGAACTAAAAGACGAGACTCGATCGCCGTCTCAATGAGCTGCTAGCTGATTTAATCGATTTGTCAAAAGTCCGTCCCTTGCAAGAGGAAGTTCCTGTTTGTCTCATGAATCGTGGAGTGAAGCCGCTGTGTTTACCTTGGTCACTTCCTGTCTGTGGCGCTCAGTCCTCGGCTCGGTGTCCAAAAAGGCCACAAAGTGGATCAGCGTGTAGATTCTGAAAAAAGAGAAGAAATCGTTGAGCAGGAACCTTGAGACTCTCTTCTCTCTCTGCTCTGATTGGACGCCCGCCGTTACCTGTGGTACAGCATGGCTATGAACTGGACCACTACCAGCATGACGAAGGCCAGGATGAACATGAAGCCGATGGGGTCGATGAAAATGTACTCTCCAGTGAGCTGCAGGTTGATGTCGATCTTCGGTACCTGGATGAAGACGGACGTCTGCGTGAGCTGCAGTATGAAGGTCGCTATGAGCCAGAAGGCGTTACAGATGAAGAACACGAAGGTGATCTGAACACGAGGAGAGAGAAACGTTATTATTTGACCTCTTGGGGAACACGCTGATGTTCATTTATTCAGAGGTCACTCTCGTACCTTGTTCCTCAGCTCCTTCAGGTCATCAGCCATCTGTTTCTGCTTCTTTTTGTCCTCGGGCAGAGGCTCCAGATACGTGGCGGTGAGCTCTCTGAAGAACTGATCCTCGTCCTGCGGGAGGAAACACAAACTCTCTTAGTAAAGTGTGTCGGACACTTTCTATTTATTTCAATGTAAGAGTTGTTTCCTGCAACACAAAGAGAAGTTAACAAACGTATGACTCAGTGTATGAACGAGCAGCACTCAAACAAATAACACCAAAAATCATCACCATGTGTACAACCTATCCCACCAGTTTTATTTGACATGATTTTGTTACTATACTGTCTCCATGTTTTTCTTTGTCCTGTTTGCTCATTTACTTATTTTGTCCCTCTTTCTAATTCATTCATTTGATTTACTTTTCCTTTTGTTTTGTTTGTTTTTGTCTAAATCTGCTTGCAAAACTGTATCGTAGCACAGTTCCCCTCTTTTTTGTATCTCTTTTTTTTATTGTGTGAGTGTGTGTATGCACGTTTTGGTGAATAAAAGTTAAAAAAATAAATAAATGTGTGAACCCGGTAACCAGCGACTTTGAGCCGAGTCTTCTCAAACGTTTCTGTATTTAGTTTGAAAACATATCTGAAGAGTAGATTTTGATTGATAAAGAAAAGAGGCCGTTGTGAGGACTCTTGCTGTTTTCATGCAGCTGAAGGTCGCCAGTCAACACGGTAACGCTTTTAAATGTAACACCTGTTAGCAGCGTCGGCTGAGAAACTCGCACAGCAACATGTACAGGTTGGAGACCAGCTGGTGGAGGTTCTACTGATCAGAGGGACAGACTCTCCTGTGAAGCTCTGCTGATGTTGAGACAGCGAGTTACGTTTCTGCATGCTATCAGTTGTTAGCCTACTTCTACTGCTGCTGCTTTTAACAGCAGTAGTAGTTGTAGTTGGTGTGTTGATTAAAAAGTCGAGCATTCTTCCTTTAAACATTCATCACCATGTAAAGGACGGACAAAACTGTTGCTACAAATGGTTGTAAGAAGTTGAGGATTTGATCTGTTTTGTAGTATCACCGTGAGGGTTAATCTCAGTCAAAAAGACGGACAGTTCTGATGACTAAGAAGAAGAAGAAGAAGAATCTCCCACCTGGCCGAGCACGTCCTCCTGCAGGAGCATGTCATCGGACAAACTCTGCAGCTGTGAAACCCAGCCTGCAAGAAAGACAGCGACAGATTACAGCTCCTGTAAGTGTGGGGGTTAGAAACCCACCTGGGCACTGATTGAAACTTTGTGTTGATGGACACTCACTCTGGTTAGGGCAGGTGAAGTCAGGCGAGTGTCCTCTGGAGAAGAAGAAGAAGAGAAGGGTTAACAGTTTTATGGGTTTGATTTCACACTCGACGTGCGTCATTATCCGATGTTACAATTCAACAATTCACTTAGCAGACACTTTTATACAAAATTACGTACATCAGAGAGTAAGTACTAATCAGTGTTTCAGGGCAGGGCCGCCCCCCCCCCCTTGTTAGTTATTAAAAAATATATATTAATTTTCTTTTCTTTTAAATTTATTTTTGGCTTTTTTGTGCCTTTATTGTAGAGATAGGATAGTGGATAGGTAAATCAGGGAAATAAGTCATTTAAGGATACCTTTCCGATAGAACAGGACAGCTGTCATTAAAAGTAATGCATGAACACCAAGATTTCTTCAAGTGTTTATGTCGGCGTCTGCCTGCCCCCCGCCCAAAAGCTGTAAACCTAGGGGAAACACCGCTAATCCATTCATACACCGCCTCCGAAGCAGCGGGAGCAATACAGGGTTAAGTGTCTTGCCCAAGGACACATCGGACATGTTGATCAGCTGGGAATTGAACCCTCGACCTTCCGGTTGAAAGGACTCCACCAATTGAGCCACAGCCACCCCTGATACCTGACAACACCTCCTCTTAGCCATCTATTTAAGCTCTCTCTCTCTGCTCCTTCATCATCAGCTCAACTCTCGCTCAGCCCCGCCTCCACCCCAGCATCCCCCTGTCGGCTCCGACTGGACGGGGTTTAAGATATCATCCCATCACTCCTCAGATCTCTGCATGTAAATTAAATCTGTGAGGAGGGACGAGGTCGGAACGTAGACACCAAACACAAGCTATGTGTTCAGACTCCTCCTGATTTGTTGAACTCATCTTCTGTGTGGCTGTTTTTTTTTTTTTAAAGGCTAAGGAGGGTCATCCTGCGCACTAATCATCCGGGTTTTATTTCAGTTACCTTGACAACTCGTCCGGCCCCCCCACATCCTCCACGATGGTATTTTGGGGTAGAGATTCCTTCCTTTCCAAAGCCAACACCTGGTCCTCCTGGTTCGCGATGAGCTCCTCTGCGTCGCCTCTCTGGCACACTTTTCTGCAGCATTTCGACTGCGAGAAGAACCGTGTGAACGCACTTTTGGCTGCAAAAAATAAAGACCGATTTCAAAGATAGAACGCAGCGTCATCTGCTAACTGATAAACAGTGAAGAAAGAAAACGTTTGAATCATGGTCTCGTCTGTTTAGTAACCCTTAACAACCAATCAAGTGGCTTTAAGGCCTTACCTTTATCGGCTTGAGATTGAGGGGAGGTAGCTGCTTGTTGGGTCGCTCCAGCAGGGGGCGTGGTCTCTCTGGTGCCCCAGGACACATTGTTCATGTTGACCATGGAGTAAATGGTCAGCAGCAGGTAGGCGCTGGGGATGCAGACGATGTACAGCAAGCCAAAGACGATGAGGCTGACCTCCTGAGGGTGCATGAGCGCAGTCACCAGGTAGAAGCAGGCGAGGGAGATGATGAAGAGGCTGCTGGGAGTCAGGATGGTTTGTTCCTTCACCATGTTCCCTGATGGAGGATAAACAGAACGACAATGAGGCCTGAACACGGGGAACCTTTCAGTGTAAGAAGTGTGTTGAGTTTGGCATCACATACCAACTATGACCATCGCTGCTATCATCATGAGGAAGCCGTAAATGATGCTCATGACCGCTGCAATTTGGATCTGAGTGTCCGACTTGATCTTAAAGCTGATGCCGAGGAAGATGACCGGAGGAATCACAGCGATGACCAGAGCAGCGTTTGGATGAATGTCCAGCAGCAGGGTCAAACAACCTGCAGGATGGTTTGACCAACACAGAATTAAGTAGCCGTTAGCTCGTTTAAGAACAATGGAAAGCATTTTTATTCGGCCTTGTCTCTGTCTCAGACAGACCCCAAAGAGGATCACATCACCGTTACATCAGAAAAAATAACAATAGCTCCAAAACAAGACCGACCTGCAATCATGAGGACGACGGTGGACGGGGACAGAATGGACGAAGCCATGCTGAAGAGCTGGTAGAACATGTAGGGTTTGGACATGGACGGGTTCCTCTTGGAAATCAGGGTGGTCGAGCCCAGCAGGTCTATGATGTTGGCCATGGTGGACGGTCCCCATCGACGACGCTGAAAAGGGCATGTACAGATTATCTCAAGGCATGGCCATCATAGTGGGGGGGGGACTGACTACCAAGGGTCCCAATAAGGGACTACTTCATGTAGCAGCCAGAGGTTAGCGGACAGATTGTAGCATTAAAACACTCAAGCCAGTGGTATCGATGCTTGATATAGATTTGAAATATCTGATGGTACAAAAGTTAACTTCAGGATAATGGCATGCACATTCATCAGGTTGTGTTTTCTTGGAAGAGAAACTCATTTACGAAACTCTAAGAGGTGTGTCTGCATGTTTCTTGAACAAAGCCATAATTATCAAGACAATAGCCTGATTATTGTGGAGGAGGTAATTATACCTGCTCAGGTTTTATTGATATGTAACATTTAATTGTTGCCTTCAAAATATGAATGAGAACAATAGAGAGGAATTCTCAGATGCCTGATCCAAAGGGCACCCTTACAAATCTGAGTCGAGTCCAAAGAGCAGAGAACAGTTTTGTTTCATCGAAAACATGTAGTCACATGCTAATCGGAGTTCTCATGGAAGCTACCTGAACATCTCACCAAGCAGGTCCAGTGTAAGCAAAGGACACTGACTAAAAAACACCAGAAAAAACATCACAGGTACAAATGATTGAAAAAGACCCTTGTAATCACCTGGTTGTAAAACTCTTTGAACTCCTCGGGGGCATTGGTGTAAGCGTCGGACGCTGCGTTGTACTCCACTCTCCATCCCTGCTTCAGCATCAAAGTGCACAGCCAGCGGTCCTCACCTGCAGAGCGACAGGTTTTCAAAACACTGAAATGCTGAAGCTATACACTGTATATATGCATGAATCAGCACATTTCCATGGCTTTAGTTTGAGATGTATTTCCACTGTCCTGTTGATTACTTTGGAGTCATAGTTCAGCATTAAGCCAGAGCTACAGACTGACCGGAGCTCCAGCCCAGACTACTGGCGATAGGCTACGGGACACAACATTTGCCAGGCTTTGGTTTGCGTGACAAAGTGTGAAAGTAAACCCAACCAAATAAGAAATCTAACACTGTTACAACTTCACCCCTGAATCGAGTCCAACTGACATCATATGTGAAAGCGACCTTAGTTACCTTGGTTGTACTGGATGTGATGTGCCGGCTTTGAGGCCTTGACTGTGTATTTTTTCATCACGTTGTCGTCCATTAGCGCTGACGCTCTGAACAGACTGAAGCAGCCCGGGCTGCACAGCACACAGCCGTACACGTGCTCTGCCGTCTTGTGGAGCCAGTGACCAACGGCGTATTCAAATTTCTGGTACCACACCATGGGACCTGCCAGGGGGAAGACAGAGCCGTCATTACAAAGTCTAAACCAGCATCCTTCAGTACGGACTGTCTTTGAATGTTTCCTTCAGGTTCATGTTCCTGTTCTTGGACTGTAATGGACCGACCTGATCCGGTCGGGTGAATCCTTCCACATGCAGCGCCGACGAGCGGATAAACGTTTCGGATAATGTTTCCTTCAGGTTCATGTTCCTGTTCTTGGACTGTAATGGACCGACCTGATCCGGTCGGGTGAATCCTTCCACATGCAGCGCCGACGAGCGGATAACGTTTCAGACGGTCGATAAGCAACATCACAGACGCCGGCTGAAAGTCCGTGTCCCCGTCCAAAGCCAAGATGTAGGTGTTGTGCTTCTCTCTCTGGAGGAATGAAACCACATGTGCTTTGTTTTACACATAGCATCTTTTCATGTCACATATAAATGCATGTTTTTTCTCCGTTTTTTCTATGTTTCTCCGTTTGTGTTTTTTTCTATCTTCTCACCTGAAACTCTCTCTTCAGGTCGGCCTCCCCCCCTCCTTTCCCCCACCTTTTGTAATACTTGGTGGAGAGCTTCCAGCCCAGGAGATAGTACAGGTACATCACCTGGAAAACATCAAACATCTGTCAGCATTTTCAGAATCAGCATCCTTTTCATCTCACTGTAAAGGTAGGATCTACATGACGTTTCATCTTTTCAAATGGATGGTAACCAGACTACTTTGCATGATAATGATTTTATCTTTTGGTGCCACATATCTTCTTTTTTTTAAATCTTTTATTTATTATTTTATTTGAATGATCACTCTAGTGTGTTTTCATTTCGTCTTCAGTCTGGCTGACTTTTAATCAGTCTGTCCAATATCAGTGTCTTCTTTATCTATGTTTTCAATTCAATCAATCAATCAATCCTTAAGACCCGGCCTATCCATCATGAGCACTTTAGCAAAGCAGCAAAAGTTACAGTGGTAAGAAAAAACTGCCTTAGTAAAAGTCAGAAATCTTAGTCTATGTTTTAACTCCTTGTGTAGGCTAATCTGTTGCTTGTACGCTTGTCTTTGTTTGTGTTTCTCTCTCGTGTGCCACACCAAGAGGGCTTAATAAAGTTGTTTGAATTTGAATTTGTCCACACCTGAGACCATCTCTTCTTGTGGCGAATGAGCAGCTTGTCCTTAAAGTGAACCCGTCAGACTGTTTCCATGAGGCATGGTGATGACCAGGCGACCTCCGTACGGCGTCCTCACCACACTCTGATCAGGGATCTGCTGCTGCTTCTCGAAGAGGCCTTTATCCAGATTGAGGAAGATACTGATGGACAGAGGGAAAGGATTCACTTACAGGCTCAGTATCAGTAAGACCATCAGGGACTCGGTGTGTCTCATACCTGTAAACTTCTCGGATTATGTCCACCATCATCTCTGCATATTTGTTGACGTGGCGGCCCTGACTTCCTGGGACGTTGCTGAAGGCGTCGTCGAAGTAGATGTGGCCTTCAAAGGTCACATCTGTCGTCTGTCCTTCCTTCTTTGGCCTGTACTTGTCCATTCTGTAAGTAAAAAGGAATCCACTGATGTAAAGTTTTCCCACATTCATTAAACTCCTGTAAACCGCAGCCCAATCGTTCCTCCCGACTTTACCCAAACCTTTTCCTTCCAGCCCCTTAGTAAGATTTCTGTGAGAAGTCAGTGTGAGATTTTTATTGTCCTTAGAGCTTGGACATTAGTTCTTGTGGGTTAGGGTTAGTGACCCACAAGTGAATCACAAAGTGATCCATTGGGTGGGCAGGAACCCGGGTTGGGATCTGATGGTTTAGAGCAGGGGTTCTCAGACTTTTTTAGACCATGGACCCCTTTCAGGTGAGAAATTTTTCCAAGGACCCCCTCATTATCTTAACGTTGATAAGCTATTAATACTATGTAATAATGTACTATGTAGAACTTTGCAACAATAGAATTAGGCTACATTTATACTAAGTAGTTCATTTTATAAACTTTGAGAAAATGTTGGCTCTGAGGTGTTTTTTTGTTTAGATTTTTTTTTATATAGTTGCGCACTACGAAGTGACAGACACGTCACGATCATATCAGAATTGATCTAATGGTACTAAACTAAAGTGGGTGGGAGTATTGGACAAAATAGATTATTTTATTGGTGCAATAGGTCCCAGTTTGTAGATATGCTTTTTCAATGAAATAGCACACTTTGACAATTGTTTGTAAATTGTTCTGCGGACCCACAAGCTATGGTTCGCAGACACCTGGGGGTCCTGGGACCCCACTTTGAGAATCACTGGTTTAGACTGCCAATGCTAAACTTACCGAAACAAAGAAATTATTATCTTCATCATCTCGTCGTAGGTCTCGTGCCACATGGTCGCACAAAGGAACACTTTCACTGGATCGAGAGGCCTCCGTCTGCCAATAACAGGAAACAGTTTTTAATAAATATAATCCCATACATTCAGACTCTCGATTTGGACCTCACTCAACAACAAACATTGTTACGTCAGCACAAAGCAGATCTTAACCTTTACACAGATCTAGGCATTATAATTACATAATTAGTGTCTGCACCAAGGCTTTGAGGACACACCTGTTTGGCTGATTCATACAGGTATAATTTTAGACCGGACCAGACAGTTTCCACCATATCTATTGTCTTCTTTTGTTTACAGGAGGCCTTGAAGTTGTTTGTTAGTTTTATGTTTAATGTCAGCTTGTTGTAACCTACGAAGGGTGCAATTAAATAATAAGGGTGCAAAGTAAATAATAATTAGACATGACAATTGTTTGTTTGGACACAAAGAGATTAATTGTGTTTTTCTTTTTAAAGCCTTTGTGTATTATTGTTCATTAAATCAAAGGCTGCAAACATGCTTCATAACGTGCAAGTTCAACTTCAGGGCAACTCAGGAGAGTTGGTGGTAAATTTAAATTGAATTACAGACTTTGATTTTACATCGTGACTGAGACTGATAAGTCTTGTTGGCGTGGTAGTTGGAGACGATTGGAGAGGTCAAAGGACGTTAACTTACTGTTTCCGCTTTTTAGACGTCTGGATGTCAAATCGAGTGTTAAGGAGCAGGGACTGTTCTATAAGTCCTCCTTCATACAGCCTCCGGATGAACAGGTCCTGAGTCCTCTGGATGCGGTTCAGGCCGAGGTTCCAAAGGTGGACAGTGGCCAACACAAAGCCGAGCCACCAGGAAAATGCTGAACCTGAAAAACGATGAGGTTCAGGGTTAGAGAAAACTTCCACCCTGAAATCCTCACACTGCAATCATTATTCAAAGAGAGAGTTTATTCATGGGACAATAAGGTCCTTGGAAGTTTTTACTTGAAACCATTTCCTTCAAACTCGCCCAACCAGCTTCTACTTTGACTGACTTATTCATTGCTGTTCCCATAATGCATCACCGAGAGAGAGTAGCCGAATAAATGTAACTCAGTGAAATCATGGTGGAGGCTGCTATGTCCACCAGTATAAACTAATTCCAGTCTTACATCACTGGTGTAGCAGTGGGACCAAGTTGGGGTTCATCGTCTAACAGCCGATGAAACCAGATATCATCGGGTCATCTGTGGAACCGCTAGTGAATTGTGCAACTTCCTGTAAGGTGTTGAACTGAAGCTAAAGTTTGTTACCTGTCAGTATGCCGATGTCCAAACTATTGGACATGTCCAGGAAGCAGAGGGTGTGTGTTACATCCAACACCAGATTTGAAAACACACTGGCGTTAAGGTTTCCGCTTCTTCCATCCACAACCACATCACAGTAACTTGTGAAGTTGATACTGGTTCCATTCAGACTGGTTTTGTAGTCCTGATAGTAAACGATAACGGGGATGACGAGCAGAGCCATGACAGCCAGAGAGGCCAGGTACAGAGGCAGGATGAAGCATCGTCGTATGGCGTGCATCTTGCAGGCTACCAGTGAAAACCAGTGGCAGAGCGCAGAGGAGATCAGCTGGACACCGATGATGATGCCTATGATTGTTGTCTCACGCCTGGGGATGAATCTGACCACGTCCCAGTCCATTTTGTTTAGGGGGACGTAGGCTCCGAGCACGCAGGCGGTCACAGCGATCCTGAGCAGGCTGGAGAGGATATGCAGGATGTTCTGGCTCCTTCTTATATCCATACTGAGCCTCTTGAGGAAAATAGAGCTGCTGTTTTCACTGATCAGTCTCAGGTAGTTTTCCCACCAGGTCAACGACACCAAGAAGGACCCACCAACCGCCAGGCCGACCCAGGTCATCATCCTGGAATCAGCGGGATCCTTCATGATGTATAACACGAGGAACAGGATGTAGCCAAGCAGAACCAGGATGAAGGCGCCGATGGACGGCACCAGGAAGCGGTTCCTTTCCTGCGCAGTGTGTTGACTGATCACTTGTAGTAGTGCAGAGAGGATGGCTACACCATTAAGGATGGTCACGTTGGTGACGATGTCCAAGTGTGGCATGGCGACTATCGTGAGAATTGCTGCACCCAGAGACACAACAAACTCGAAGAACAAAATCTGCAAAGAGAGAGAGGTTGGTTGAAGAATGTGTAATTGGGAGCATTAGTTCTGTTACTTTGTGTAAAATCTCATTGAGAGGGTGGTTCCAATTTGTGCCACAAGGAGGCGTAACCTCCAGGTGAGACAGCTTGTGCTCGGTAGCCCTCGTCTTCAGACTGGCAGAAGCAGGAAAGGAAACACACCTGTTGCTATGATTTCCCTGTTATTTACAGGTGAGTAAATGTCACAAATCACATAAATGTGGTCTATATTCTTCTATAGCATGTAGAAGCTAACGCCATCCTTAAGTGTGTGTCATGTGTTTTAAATGTGTTTTGAAGGTTTTAAGGTACTTTAGCTATGATGCTCATGGGCGCTAGCTTAGCTCATCGCCACGTTCATATATGGGCGCCACTGCATGTCAAATGTTGTTTTTGAAGAAAGAAATGAAAACCAAAATACAGTTTAAGTAAAACTGAAATACATAAGACAACAAGACTGGCAGAAGCAAGGAAAGGAAACACATTACCTGTTGTCTCATTATTTCCCTGTTATTCACAGGACAAATCTAATCTGGCAACAGTCCTCCATACGGGGCCTGTTACACTTGCTATATAACGTTTACATTTGAAAATCTGGTGTTTGGTTGTTTGGATGATAAGTCCAAATAAAGTCCACTTATATAATACCAACCAAACATACCACCAAAGATTTGGATGCCTCTGAGTTCATTTCTGTTGCCACTGTATCAAAACAGGTAGTCGTGTTGAATCTAAATTCTAAATTCCCCTCTTCAGAAACCGATGGTTGTCGTCACTAAAACTACGTCCATGTTTTATGGTTGGTAAACTTTCTTCAAGGCAACAATGATGGAAGAGAGACTGTAAAGTAAACCTGGTTGAGTTCTCACCACAGCGACGGTACTCTTGGCCGGCATCTTTGATGATTTGTAACAGGCCTTCCAGACGCTCTTCTGTAAGACAAGAACGCTGGACGTGATGAGAGAGCAGCCGATACACAGCAGGGCGACGGGTTTCCGCTCGTCGGAGAGGATCTTGGTGCCTTCATTGGACAAGGTGATGAGCAGCAGGAAAGACGTCTGGAAGGAGAAACAAAATCGAGGCACAGTGAAAATATTTAAGGGCTCAGGGGACGAGAACGAGAGTCACAGAGTTACAAGAAATGTGGAAAATCATTCATTCACTTCTGTACAATCAAACTTATTCAGACTTCAAGGCGTTTACTCTCTGCACAGTATGTCAATAAGTGTAAATATTTAGAACAAACCTTGCTGCATAGAGCCAACCCAAACACGATCAGAGCGACCACACAGAGAGTGAAGACCCTCAGCAGTTGGATCATCTTCCATGGCGTCTGTTCGTCTTCGATGGTGGGGACCTCGCGACACGTATCCCACGGCCTCCTGCAGATTCATCAAATACAATTAATGCTCCGACATAATGAGAGAGGTGGTGAGCATGCTGTTGAAAAGAAATGTACTGGTGATTTAATGATGTGTTCATGAACGTCTTCTGTCCTCTCTTGGAGGAGGAAACATTTACTGAAACGCTAAATCAGTAGAGGAATCAAAGGTACCATCAATCCGTCCACAACACCCCGGTGACGAGCTCTGCTGTCAGCACCCGTCTGTTTGTTTTACCTTTTTTTAAGCTTTCTGCTGTCTTGCAGGTCTGGTTGAAATGTACTCCTGGCTTTATATTGCTGAGTGCATGTCTTAGTTTTATTGTAAAGAAAAGTTACAAGTAAAATAATCCAATCAGGAGCTTTTATTTACCAGAACACCTACAATATGTTTCTTTGCTGTTGTCAGTCACTGTAGCTGCTGCACCCCCTTTAACCTCAGATGCACCCTAAGTCAGAGTCAGCCTAAGCCTGGTCTCAGGTCTTCCTCTTCCATTCATTTCATTTCAGCCTCGAAAACCAATGAGGTTTCCCTCATTTACAATGATGTTGAGATACAGATCAAAAAATCAAACAAAAAGGGCACAAATAAAACAACAAAGACAGGTCAGGATGATTCTCATTACAAACAATTACACACTTTGGTAAAGTGGTTTGAGATAATTGTCTTAATCTGCCCAAGAGAAACAAGAGTGTCAGTCTTGAGACAGTGCTGTAAATTGTTCCACATTTTTGGAGCTAAGAAGCTAAAAGCGGATTTTCCAAGTTCAGAATAATACCCGCGGGACTTGGTGGTAGGGGCCGATGGTTATGAATCTAAGAGCAGAGTGATAAACTGAATGTATATAGATGGTATTGCCATAATCAAGCACTGACATAAAGACAGCTTCAACGATACGTTTGATACAATCAGGAGGGAAGTTAGCTCTGTTTCTGAACAGAAACCCAAGTTTCTGCCGAAGTTTGCCAGTGAGATTTTCCACATGATGTTTAAAAGTAAAAGATATTTATGTATTCTGACCCTTTCAATACTGCTGCCATTGAGTGTGGATAATTGTTGACTGTTAAAAACAATATCTCTGGCTTTTGAGAAGATCATGTACTTGGTTTGACTGCCATTTATGACCAGTCTTAAGCTGATAAATGCCGTCTGCAAAGTATTAAAAGCACATTGCAGTTTCTCTACAGCAAGCTGTACAGACTCAGCAGAACAATGCAGTACAATATAGTCCGCGTAAAGATGAATCTTACCGTCCGTGATGGACGAAACAACATTGTTGATATAGATTATAAATAATATAGGGCCCAGAACTGACCCTTGTGGAACGCCTTTTGTTAATGACAGAAATGCAGACTGAAAAGTTCCAGCCTTTACACACTGTGATCTATCAGACAGATAGTTCTGGAACCATTCACAAGTGTTGGCGTCAAACCCAATGTCACACAATATTTGAATGAGAAGACCATGATCGACGGTATCAAACGCTTTCGACAAGTCAACAAAAACAGCAGCTCAATGCATTTTCCTGTCTATACTAGTAACAGTATCATTAACAACTAAGGTGACAGCAGATGCAGTACTGTGCACAGGTCTGAAGCCTGACTGATGAGGGCTTAAGACAGAAACATTTCTGCCATGAGCATGATTTTATTTCCCCTGAGTTTCATCTTCAGTAAGCGCTCTTTGTAAAGATCTGTTTTTAAATAAAGTTATTTTGATTAAATGGATTAAAGAGGTAGCTCCTTACTTGGGCTGGCTCCTGTCTTTTTCATCCATGTCTGTGTGGTCGATGTTCACGCTGCGTCCGTCTGCTCGTGTGAAGCTGAGGATGAAGTGATAGCGAGCTATTTAAACCTGATGTCCAGATTCCATCATCACATTGGAGTCATTACTCAACACACGAGCCGACACCTCTTTGTGTTTGCAGAGCCGCCAAACAGGATCCAGTCGTTTATTTCACATACCTGGTGGAGCTGAGGCACATGTGAGCACCGAGCACTGACTCACATCAATCCTCCCCTGAGTATGTACTCATTTTAAAATGTTTGTTTAAAGTCCTGCAGACTCTTACTCAGTGTTTGGAGCATTTAGTTTTTGCATTTGCTGATGAAAGGGTCAATGCAGATGTTGTTTTATAGACGTTTATAACGGTGATATTAATGCCAGTTCCTGGTCACTAGGCGACCCATAGCGAGGCCGTAGCACTACATGAAAGAGTGTAATAGGAGATGTTTACAATTTATGCAAAAATCAATAGAAGACAGTTGAAATAACATATAAAAAAAAAAGAAAGAAAAAAAGAAGTATAATAGATCCCATGTTCTCTGTGTTGTTCTCCGATGTGTCAACACGGACTCGACCGCTGTCTTGTAAACTAAGAATGCTTCATGCATGTGTTCGTTATGTAGAAGAGGTAACCTAAGGTTAGTCCTGGAGCAGTGTGAGTGCAGGCCAGTGGGGTAATGAGGAGGGGGGCAACTGGGCCAGGTGTGAGTGTGCCCTGGTCTACCTGTGAATATTCGGTCTATATCGTCTTTACGACTGTTCAAAAACATTCAGAATCATGTACAACTGTCCATAATAACAGCGCTTCAACACCTTTTTATTATCGTCTGCTCTTTTCTCTTGCTCCTGATCCGTGAGTGGACAAACCACTGCATGTCATGCTCTGCTTTGAGGACGTTCTCCTGATTAGGTTTTCCTTCTCATCACTTGATATGTATTGTTGAGTTTGTCTGGTCTTTCTTATTTTTCTTGTTTTGTGTTCTTTTAAAGGAGCAGTATGTATATCTGCCACCTAGTGTTTAAAATGGGTACTGCAGTCTAAATTCTAAACATTGTAGAGAGCTGTTTTTTTTTACTAAGTGGATTGTAATCATTAGTGATAAAAAATTAATAGTTGCATCTTTCAAAGCTCTTTCCAGTGAATCAAAACTGAAACCTTTTAGTCGACACTGCAAAACTCAATTCTGTGTTTGACTCATTCCTGGTCAAATATATCATTACACTATAACCCAGAGCTTCCACCAGATACCCTCCTCCCATGGTGAGTTCTCTGTAGTGGACTATAGTGCACTCAATCAGCACCATAAAAAAACATGTCGGACACTACTCATTGACTCGCTGGCCGC